TGTTTTTTCGCGTGCGCTGGACTACAGCAAAACAGCTGAAAAAATATGTCTTACGCACGGACAAAAACATTTGCGCAATTTTTAATAGATGAAAAACGAGCACTTAACCCTTGCAGTGCTGGGAAAACCCCACTGCAAGGGTTAAGATTCGATTTGCCCGGAGTTCTGCTGTAACATCACTGGTAGGAGGAGAGTTTGGTTTATCGTCACGTTTTTTCTGGTATTTAGCTCCTACTTCAATTTGCATTTTTATTTTGTCATTTTCAAACATTCTTTCCCAACACTCGGCAAATGATTCCAATCAGGAAACCATCACTCCAAGCATACGGAGGTGGAAAGAGAACTCAGACCGGGGGCTGTAGGTACTTCCCCAAGGCCTTCGCTGACTAACAATGGGGAGGATTCTCGGGGGGGGGGGAATCTGGAATGAATCCCACACAGCACAGCTGCACGGCACAGACCTCCGCCTCCTCCAGCAGACTTGGCCGGAGCACATTACAACCTACACATGCGTCGGATCTGCTTTCTTGTGGGAATCAATGTGTTCTGCAGCCACTAAAACGGCAGTCATGTTCGGTGTAATTATTTCTGAGACGCAGATCCCACTTCCTGCTCTGAAATATGCCGAGGTGCGGAATAGGTTTATATGTGCGGATGGGAAACGCTGTCATGCGCTGGGCGTTTAGGAACAGTTGCTAAACGGTTTTCAAGACTTAAATGGCAATGTAAAAATATTAAAGTATATTTCATGCCATTTTTTTTTAGGTGTGAGCCATGTGCTTAAAACCCATCAGTTTGGTTTTTTTTTTGTCCCACTGGGGAAATTATTAGCTCACTTCCTGTCCTGTAGACACGACAGGAAGTTAGAGGTATGGATTACAAATATTGCCGCATAGTAGAGTGAGAGCGTTGTTTCACACCCCAATAACTAATATACAGGTGAAACTCGAATAATTAGAATATCGTGCAAAAGTAATGGCAGTAAGTATGATTCTGGCCGGAACGCACTGGATCGCATTGCGGGCGGCTCACTTTGTAGTGAATGGCACCGCAGCCACGCACTCCGGGACGCAATGTTATCGGCCGCACGGGAACGCGTGGCACATCAATGCCTGCGGTCCGGTCCGAAAAAATGCTTCAAGCGCTATTTTTCTGACCGGACCAGAACGCAAGCATTGATGTGCCTTGCATTCCCGTGCGGCCGATCGCATTGCGGCCCGGAGGGCATGGCTGCGGTGCTATTGGGTTCAATGGACCGCCACACCCCCTCCTGTCCCACAACAACGTGAGCCGGCCGCAATGCGATCCAGTGCGTTCCAGCCAGAATGAGGCTGGGACGCACTGTGTCTGGTGTCAATAGGCCCCACCCCCCATCTCCCAAGCATTGGCATACTTGGGCGTGGTAAAATGATCATCTTATGGCGAATATATAGGAAGTTAGAGGTAATCTTTTCAAAGTAAGGGCGCCACCTCTTAGAAAGTTGTCACTGGAAGAAGTGTCCCCACTGGAAGATTCCCCGCCTTCCTGCCCATGAGGATTTCACTTTGCTTTCTCTCTCAGCAGGTCTTTATGCTGCCATACAAATGGCGACATGTGATCAATCAGTAGATACAATTGTCTGAAATTATTTGTTACTCAAAAACTATTATTTGTGGTGAAGCCGAAGACAAGTCTATTTCATCAAATTCGGGGACAAGTTACCGCTTTGATGATAACGATCTGATGATGGCGTTGCCCATTTGATGCAATACAGTATACAGCACGGCAATGTCTGACAATAGGAAATATTTCACATATGAAAGATACTTTACATGAAGTGCCAAGAGCGTCCTCGCTTTTTCCTTGCGCAGCTTCACGCCATCCAGTGGTAGGTAACCGATCTGCTGGCCCTGTGCATAAAGGAGATAGGTGCCGGATGTGGGTGGAGTCACGTCAGGGCGGGGAGTTGGTCGCGCAGTGGGAGGAGCTACACTTGGTAAACCTGCAAGGTAAAAGTAAAAAACAGATATTAAAACCCCCAAAGCTCACATTTTATTGTAGTGTACTTAATAGACGCATTTTGTGCCAAGCTTGTGTTGGATTAAAGAAAAACTATAGGGTGAGGGCTTTTCCCCATAGTTCTCCTAAGGGTCACAGGAGAACACAAACTAGCGTTCTCCCATCACCCAAAGCTCAGTATATGGCGAGCTACAGCCGCAGCCGAGACGGATCCCGACATTACTGTCTGGATCCATCCAGCTGCGTGATTGACAGCTGGCTCTGCCTATCTAGAGGCAGAGCCAGCTGTACCCGCCCCCTGCAATGTGCAATCAGGAGAAGCAGCATTTCCTTCATAAACACTTTTCTTTGCCATGCTCTACTCCTTACCGAAAGTCCCTTGTAATGGGGGGATGCTCGAAGTGACTGAGGATGGTGCCGCAAATATCGGCAAAATGTAGAAATGTCACCAGCACACCAGAATCCTTTTAGGATAGCAGAATGTTGTCTTATGTGAAGTTCCTTGTCATATAAACAAGCCCTTTCGGGGCCGCGCAGGGGCCCTTCATCAGGTCAATGCTAAGTCTGATGAAAGGACCCTGTGCGGCCCCGAAATCGCTGGTTTATATGACAAGGCACTTTAAATAAATGAACATTCAAGTATCCTAAAATGATTCTGGTGTGCTGGTGACAATTCTACATTTTATCTTCATAAACATTCCCCTTGGTGTCTGGGCTCATTAGACATGAGGTTGGGCTGCTGGTCCCATAATCTGGCCATTGCTGCGTTCTGTACTCACATGCTGGTGTCATCCCCGGCTGCGTCCTGGATCCTGCGATCTCCCTCCCGTCTTTATCCACGCACCAACAATAGCCGCTGTTGCCGTGGCACTGCAGAGGGGTGAATTCTCCATAGGCATCGCACTGCGGTATATAGTGCTCGGCGGAGGGGCTTCCGCTGTAATGATCCAGGAGGCTCTGCTTCCACCTTTCGCACATGGTCTGCGGCCTCTGGGTGGGTTCTGCTCGGCAAAATACAAGAAAGACTAGTTAGGCACGGAAGGTATCAGAGATCACAATAATATGGCTACAATGTGGCCTGCACACTATATGGACATAGGAGAAGTGGTGGAGAGTGAAAGTCACAATGTATCCTTTATATGTCAGTATGAAAGTTCAATCATTACAGCTCAACCTATGTGCAGAGTGGAGCGCCTGGTTCTCTAGATTCTAGAGTCTAGACCAGGGGTAGCTAAACTCCGGCCCTCCAGCTGTGGTGAAACTACAAATCCCATGATGCATCTCTCTCCGGGAGTCGTGGCTGTGAGAATCTTGCAATGCCTCATGGGATTTGTAGTTCCACCACAGCTGGAGGGCCGGAGTTTGGCTACCCCTGGTCTAGAGGGTACAAAGAACTGCAAATTGTAGAACTTTATTCTTCTGACAATAGAACAATAGGGATTGCACTCACGTTTTAAAAATGTGTTAAGCACGCAAAAGGAGTATATAGTGCTGATACCCGTTTTCTCGTGGCCACATGTGGCAGGACAGAGGGATTAGCACCAACAACTTCTTTTGCCTATATAAAGAAGTATTGAACGCTTAATTCTTACTTTTCAATAATGAACCCAGATCAAACAGATATAAATTGCCCAGCAAAGTATTTTATTTGCCCAAGCACAGTCACCATGCTTCCTAACAGCTCCAACTCTCTCAGCTCAGCTTCCCTGAGCTTCCTGTCCAGCACAAGCTCAGAAGGGTCAGTACAGTCTTCAGCAACTGTCCATCTACTAGTTTGGTGGAGGAAAGAGAGGGGAGCAGAAAGTATCTTCCCTTGCTGCACATGTGTGTTTGTGGAGACACACATAGCTTTCTAGCACACACAAGGATGGCTCCACAGGACCTTGCAAGTGAAAGGAGCCACCCTAAAACAGGATATCAGGACCGGTGCTCAGGGAACCCGCTGATTCTGCAGGAGGCTAAAAACTTTCAACATCAATGTCCTCTTTGGGCAGATTTCCCCTCATTTCCTGCACTAGTGACACCAGGATAAGAACTGAGAGGATGCAGGTGTCACCGGTACAGGAAGAGCCAGACAGGAGTAAAAACCTGACAGATATTGTATCCCTTTTCCAACTCTACTAAATAAATGGGCTTTTGTTGCTGTCTTGATCTCTATAAAAGAGATATCTCATCACTTCCTGTCCTTGTGACACCCTGAGACAGGAAGGTAAGGTAAACAGAGGCAACAATAAACACATGACCTACTAACCTTTCTCCTCTGACCAAAACCAAATGTTTTGGCCGCAGCTGGCTTTCAACCAAGTGGCTAATAAGTTCTACATGGCCGTGCCCAGTCTCAACACCAGGGGTCTAGCATTTCCCTTGCCATTGTCTGGCATCGGCCTAGACACATATAAGCCTTCTGGCAGCCATAGTATAAGAACATGGCGGGGGTTTTGATTGGCGCATACCTGGAATGCCACACTCTGGGGTTCCTCTGCCAGGTGGCCTTCTTGTTCCATCGACCTCATTGCCGTTCTTGTCCACACACCAGCAGTGGCCTGTGCTGCCGTGACATTGCAGCGGGACGTAGTTGCCCTCTTCGTCACACTCTGGTACAAAGGCTCCGACAATTGGGGGACGAGGGCCTCTGGGCTGCCCCTGGAAAAGCCGTCTCTTCTCTAGGCAGGATGAGGTGGGCCGATCCACTGTATAAGAAAGTAACAACCACACAACACGGGTCAGAGAAGAATAGACCGAGGCAGCGTAGAGCAATCAGCATAGAGCAGTCATCAAAATGTATCTAAACCCCAACACAAAACTGTATTTCATCGTAGCTCACCAGTCCTTGGATGTGGCGGCTGCATTACTTTTCTATCTTTCCTTTATGTTCACCTGGTGATCCTGCCAGTAACACACTCCCTGTCACTGGATGGGATGAGCTCAGGTTTGGACTGAACCCTGCCTGAACCTGAGCACCCCTGGACGAAAGCTCCTTCCCTGCCGCTGAATCAGCTGCAGGTGGCACAAGCAAAGGGGCAGGATGCAGTGATGCAATTGACTTTCTATGGCTCCATGCCTATATTCTGTAAATGACATTTGCCTAATATGGCTCTATGGCATCACTACAAGCATACCACCCCTTTGGAAAATGCCCAGCCTGCTGCTGATTGGGCGGAAGTGCCCATGGCACTTCCTTGTTCAGAGAAACCGAACCCAGTCTGAACCTGAGCTCATCCCTAGACAGCAGCAGACCATGCATGTGTAATGTGTATCAGCATGGCCACCGGTACTCTCCACTAGTGATTGGCTCGGGCGTGTTCGCAGCTCCACATGCAGAGCCCGCCAGGAAGCTGACAGCGCCGCAGCGCCAATCACGGGCACGGAGAGATTTCCAGCTCTCTGCAGCTGCGGACTGAGAAAATGTTTCAGTACCTGTGATTGGCGCTGCGGCGCTGTCAGCTTCCTGGCGGGCTCGGCACGTGGAGCTGCGAACACGCCCGAGCCCATCACTAGTCTCCACTGGAAGCCCATGTGACAGGGTGACAACAGAAGAGAACTACTAGGAGACAGGGACAGAACGTTGCCACCCTATAAAAAGAATTGCCTGAACCAGGACCTTCCTGGCAGGAACTTTGCGGATTATTTGAAATAAAGCTGCAGATTTAAAAATATTGAAAATTACTTTATTCTGCTAAAGCTTACATGAGATGTTATTGATCGGGTTACATCTACTTAATAACCAGCGGCTCGTTTATTATTTGTGGCTCGCTGCCAAACGCTTTGTGTTCAAAGACTAACGCATACGGGGTCGGTATGTCAGAAAATATCATGCCTGAGCAAACATACATGGCTGACCGAAAGGCTTGAATTAAACACTCGTATTCTTTTTAATTGGAATCATATGCTCTGGATGTCAGGCTGATGTTACAATTCCACATAATCATTTCCTCATGGGGGATGCATGTCAGCTCTTCCGTTACCTGGGGCCTGTGTGCACTGGAAGCCATCGCCGGTGAAGCCGGGGTTACACCGGCAGGAGAATGATCCTGGGATGTTGGCGCACGTAGCATCTGGGTGACATCTGCGCTCTGTGCATTCATCAACGTCTGCGGGAGAGATAAGACACACAATGACACGTGTACATCACACAGCTGCCAGTTACTGGACCTCAGCCGCGTATGGGAAATCTGACCATAATCCTCCGAGTGTTTAACTGAACGGGTGGTGGAAAATGTCAGCAACGGGCTGTTGTTGAGATTATTGCAGAAATGACATTATCCAGGCGTCCTTTGAAGACGCTACAAGCAAGGGAAAGGCCTGGCCAATGTTCATACAGAAAGCTGTAGAGAGGCATGGGTTACATGGAGGTCAGGGAGACCTACTGCCAGCCATTTTGTTCCATCAAAACCACTAGACTTCAGCTCAGTATAGGTACCTGGCCATTATTTGTATCTGCTGCTAGTCTCACTGTACTCAAAATGTGGGAAGCCAAGCCTCTGCTCATTGGGATATTTAGGAAGTCAAACTATATTCATTGGGATATGTAGGAATCAAAACTTTACCCATTGGGATATTTGGGAAGCTGAATTGTACTTATTGGGATATTTGGAAAGCAAAGCTATACTCATTGGGATAATTAGTATTGGTAAGCCGATTTCAACTCATTGGTATATTTGGAAAGTCACGCTATACTCATTGAAACTCCTAGACAATTACCCTAAAAATAGGGAGGACCAAGCAGGCAATCCCGGCTGTTACAGCTGACCACAGAAGACAAAAACCCTTACCGGATGACATTTCTAATAAAAGCCGTCTATATTACAGTTGACATTTTTTATTTTCTTTGTGAAAATACTGTTCTCACCTTTTTTTTAATCAGAAGATGTTAAATGAACAGTCATAAGTAGCTGCAGGCTGGGGGTGCAGAACTGGTACTTGGAGCTGCGGGGACTGGCTGTGCCAATGGCCAGTTTTCAGTGTGACTGGTAAATACTTTTAACAAAGTAACTATAAAAGAATATACAGCACATACAACACATTGGAATAGTCTTTACAGGGTATCAATAGTCAAAAACTAAAAATAAATCTGTATTTCTAATACTGAATTTCCATAAGTCCCATCCCGCTCCTAATAACCGTACTGATATAGAAGTTTGAAAACTTGCTTATTGAAGATGCCCTGTCACCACTCAACATCTGAACAATGTAACATTACCATTGCTTGCTGGAAGCAATGCATGATGGGATATGCAGTCCTGAGAAATAGAGATTGCATCACATCAAGTAACAGGGAAAGAGATGCAAAGCACACTGGGAATCCAGCAAGTTGTTGGAAGTGATGGGCAGACGGAAGGCAGCACTCACTACATAAAAGGGATTTTTTTCAAGTAAGCTTTACATTATCTAGTATGTATTTCTATTACAATGCTGATGTTATAACAGGAGAGGATGTGCTGAGGCTTTACAACTCCTTTAAAGAGATTTACAACCGTCAATTATCCTGTAAATAGCAGAGATTAAAGGAAGGACAATTTTACAAAGAATTCTAAAGAAAAGGATGCACTATAAGTACATGTAATGTCTGATTAGGGCAAAGAAAGGCTGAATCCCTGATCATTATCAGAGACTATTTAGCTCCATTATGGATGATACTGATTATAATCGGTGCAATTTCAAACTGATTTCCAGCTGCCTGCTTTAGGAGATGACAGCTGCAATCTGATTGGTTGCAGGGACAACCCAGGCCTTTTCCTGGAGCATCAATGCATTTGCTCTAAAGACGTGTCAGCTGGGCTGGAGACACTGACGTGTCTCGTCTCTGTCTGTGTTTCTTCCCTGGCCCCCGGGGGCACCTTGTTTTCCAGTTACCTGAGGATGACGCCCTCATTAACACAGGAAGTGGGACAACAAAGCAAATGATGTTGAGGGTCTCTTTGATTTTCACACTTTGATGCCTTCTGGGAAACCTATAAAACGTCTTCATGTATCTATGTGTCCTTATTCTAATGCCATTAAAGTGAACCTGTCATTAAATCACACTTTACAAAAAATATCAGAGTATTACCAAATCACATATTTTAAAGAGGAATTGTAAAAATGAACCCTTGCATTGGGGCTACCCCTGCATTGTAAGGGTTAAGTGCTTGTTTTTCCCTAGGGGCCAGAGTAAATGAGATATACTCACCTGATCCCCGATCCCGCACTCACTTGCCTCTCCATCTGCTCCAGCCATGGCATTTCCCCGTCTAATAGTGATGGGCTCTGGCGTGTTCACATCTCCACGTGCCGAGCCCGCCAGGAAGCTGACAGCGCCAATCACAGGCACCGAGACATATCCAGATCTCTGCAGCTGCGAACCGGGATAATGTCTCAGTACCTGCGATTGGCGCTGCGGCACTGTCAGCTTCCTGGCGGGCTCGGCTCGTGGAGCTGCGAACAAGTGCAAGCCCATCACTAATGTCTAATGCAAGTCAATGCACCTGCATTAGACATGATGGCGTCACGGGTCCTTAAACCGCTGGTGCCCGGGGTAGAAGAAGCTGCGGGGACAAAAATAACACCCACAGCATCCTCATGTCTAATGCAAGTCAATGCACCTGCATTAGACATGATGACATCACAGATAGAATTACAAGGATGGACCTGACAAGAGTTTGGGTTTCATTGAGGTCAGACAGGTGATCACACCGGCTCTATAGGGTCCACAACAGCTTGACACTCTGCTCTGAAAGACACCTGTAAATAACCAAAGATCAAGTGATCCCTCAGAGGTTAATGTTAACCGGTGACAGGTTCTCTTTAATAAAGGTTTTGGCCTAGTCCGGCTCCTTTTCCCTGGCTCTGTTATGTTTCCTGAATGTGAACATCTGTTTCTTTTGGTCTGCATGAAGCTTGCTTGCAATGTTCACTTATGTGTTTCCAATTATCTCGGGCTGTACCTTTCATTCAGTTATTCATGTCCGTGACTCCACTGCAAACTGGGACAAAGAGTCACATTCAAGGCCGTCAGCCACATGCAGAATGTCAGCGGTTTAATAATTAGGAGATGACAAAATAGTGTGGAATATTCCTGCCAAGATACGATCCACTCTAAGCAAACTCAGATTTATTATCTCACCAAACTTCCTTCCAACAAGTGATAGAAATGTGTTAATGAGGAAAAAAAATTGAATTTAAAGGACTTTGCATCATTCTGAGTGGACAGCCGAAATATTTTATTTAAAATGTTTGGATATACTTCCCATCCCATACTGACAACAGGGAGTGAGTGGAATTCTCTCCACATTCAGGAAAGATCTGATGGAGGGCCATGGAGAAGGAGCTTATGTCTGGGCCTGGGAGTCACATGCATTTGCGTACAGCCACCTATACAAATCAATAACAGGCTGACAGATGCCACGGCTGGGCTCTACACATGTACGAGCAGTTACATGAGTACAGGGGCATCCCTAGCTGCAAACACATAGCACACAGCATAGAAGACCGGTGTCCATAAAATCCAAAAATGTATTGTAGTAAATTCCACCAAAGGATCCCACTCTAGCGCCTCTCATGCATTTCATTACCTGGGATTAAAGGAGAACCATGAAGTGAGTGAAAATCCCTCATCCTCATAGTTCGAGCCGACGAGTGACAAAGAAACTGTAGATCGGGAAGTGAGTGAACGCATGCAGTCGTTCGCTCACTTCTCGATCGTCTCCCTGCAGTGAGCGGTGACTGTGACTCACCCCACCCCGCAGGGGTTCCCCCTCCCTGCTCCGATCCTCCAGCGCTGAGTGGAGGAACAGACGGGAAGGGGACGGGCACAGCTGGCTCTGCCTCTTGATAGGCAGAGCCCGCTGCCATTCACGCAGTTGGGTGGATCTCGACAGCATTGTCGGATTGCCCATTGACTTAACTTATTAGCTATTTTAGGAAGCACATACAAAGGACGCATCAACTATGTAATTTGGTGGATCCACCAGACAGCCCCGACCAACAATTCTGTGGGGAATAATGTTGGTTGGATAGTTTAGAAAACCTTGTCACTGCTGTCCCCTGAGGATAAGACAAGGTGGGTTCTGTCATCCTACAGCTCCCTCCTCCTGGCTCCAAGAGTGCCTTAGGGTGGCTGGACTCTGGTGACAGATCACCGTCTTAGGAGTATGCGCATCCTTTCTGCACCACAAGGCTAGTTTAGTTTTGGAGGTGGAGGCGTAAGCATGACACTAAATTGCATGCACCCTAACATACATGATATGCTAGCAAATCACATGCCGTGTACTAATCTACGTCTGTGAATACAGCTTTCATGTGCCTGCGGGTCAGTAACATTTTTTTTTTGGGGGAGCCCTCTGGTATTCTAAGTTCTTTTAGCAGTAAAGACCGAAATTCCCAAACTGTAATAAAGAAAAAAACCCACAAAAGACATGTGTGATGGGCCAATGACTAACAAAGTGACTATGAACATTCACCAGCCAGTAATGTGACATACTTTTACTAGCACCGGTAAAACTCGCCCTCACTGAACTTTGTAGCTGCAGGTAATCTGGTGCAATTCATCCTCAAACTTCACAGCAGAAGCACTGAAATCATTCTCTTCGATTAGCAGTTTGGCTCACCCTGTTATTCCTAACGAGGTCTAAGAAGGGAGAGTAGGGAGAGTGAAGTGGCTGAGTCAATGCTAGGAGTAGGGTCATGGACATCTAATCTGCTAGGAATGACAGTGCTTCTGCTGTTAACTTTGAGAATAAATTGCTCCACAGTGTCTCCAGCTACAGAGGTCAATGGAGGGCTTGTTTTGAAGCTTATTTACTGCCTGTTGTAAATGTTTGAATACCTAACTATGGACTCAAATACTTAATATTTGAGTCCATTTCCTGGCCACAGGCTCACTCTAAGTTTATGTAAACCAAAAGAAGCACCAAACGGAAAATTAAAATGATACAAATCGGACCGAGCAAAAGTAGACACAATCATAAAAGATGTTAAATATCAATTGTCATTATTAGGAATACCGAGTATTTTGCCCCGACACCGGAACTTTCAGTCAGAAGGAGATTTCCTTTGACCGGCAGTGCCATGAGGGAACTAGGAGCCAGTCCGCCGGTCAATAAGGAAGCCGAGTGGTGAGCCATTACCCTCCGCCCGTCTTCCTGATTGGCCGGGAAGCTGGCTCCATGCTGTTTGGCTGGCTTGATGCTGATTGGCTGGGAAGCCGGCTTCCTGGCTAATCTGCATCGAGCTGCTCAAACAGTATTGAGCCGCCTTCCCAGGCAATCAAGAAGCCAAGTGGCGGGTAATGACACGCCACCCGGCTTCCTGATTGGCCGGGAAGCCAGCTCCTTCTAGTGGAATTACCGTTATGGGTACTTGGTATTGGCGAGTACCGAAAGATACATTTCGGTACTCGTACTCGATACCGGAAAACCAGCATCGGTGCATCCCTAGTTATTATCTATGTGAGTAAGGTTAGTACTTGACCATAGATAGCCACCATTGATATTTGAATTTTCTGTCTTTCGCTGCCCTGGTGGAGGGCGGTTGTTTGGCCCTTGAAACACATTGGCTACCACTATTCTCCTGTTGTCATTCAAGGAATTAAATACTTTTTGGACTCCAATAACATGTGTTTGGTGCTACTTTTGGTTTATACACACAAAGACTTCTCAACTTGGGTGACCCCGGACCCCAGGGATATCCCAGCTTTGTGGAGAGCCACCAAACACAAGCCATGTGGCTACTTTAGGGACATTTCTTTTCATCATTTTGGGGATCCTCATTCAGCCCCCCGCTTCCACTTCCACTTACAGGTTTACATTGAAGCAGTCTTAACAGAACCATTTTACCAGTGTGCGGATCTTTACTACAGTTAGTTAATAGAGGGCATGAGTTCTGAAGTATTTTGGAGTCAAAGCCTAGCAAAGCCTTCTACAATGATTTTATGAATGAAGCACACATTTCAGCAAGAAAGCTATGAAGTAATGAACTCTTACCGATACAGCTCTGTCCACTCCTGGTGTACCCGGGGAAACATTCACATGTAAAGACTCCATCTCCGCGTGGGACACACTGAGACGTGGTCAAGTCACAGGTATGTGTGCCGTCCTCACAAGGATTCCCAAATGAGCTGCTCACTAGGAAAAAAAACAAGAGAACGTGGAACATTAACAGTGTTATCCCTAAAGTGGTTATACCAAATCTCTCTTTGTAGTTTCGGAAGGAGCGGGAAGGGTTCCTAACTGTGTAGATTTGTTATCACTGCCGCTCACTTCTTGTTGCGGTGACACTTGTCAATAGGCAGGTGTCCATTCTATCAAGAGCCACCTACTGTAGATTCTATTAATGTAGAATTATTACTCTTACGGGTGTAACATATTAGGTATTTCGGTGTCATTTTTGGGTCCGGTCTTGTAATTTGTTTGGGTCTCTGAAAGCGTTTGGCATAACAATGTAGCTTAAAACTATCACGCTCAAGCTGCTGTGGTCATACCAGTAGAAGGAGGCGTTCACACCGCTTACACGAGAGGAAGAAATCAAGGATGACTTACCAGTGGGGAGGTGATAGGGGAAGCTACAAAGCTGCAAAAGCAAATAGGGGTGCTATCTGCCAGGCTATATGGTCTGGCAGGGGATTATAAATAGTGATGTCCAGATACCAGTGCCAATACTTGGCGTTTTTGAAAAACAAAAATGTATCAGTACTTGTATCTGTAAGTACTTGGACAAGTATCAGTACTTGTAAAAATGGTATCGGTGCATCACTGATATATATATTTATAACAAAAAATTCATACATTATAATAGGGATGTACAAATCCCAGGAGCTCCGTGTGCTCCTTACAAATGACAGCTGCCTCCTAACTTTTTAATTTTTCCCTAGTCTAATCTTGGCGCTGGAAATGTATCTGTACATGTACAAGGTATCTGAACATCCCTAATTATGAACAACAAAAGCAGCTGAACGGAACAAAAATATTTTAGTAACGCAAAATAGATCACATCTCTGCATCCCAACTACGTCAGACCGGCAGTGTCCTAAACTGTTGATTTGTCATTTACGAAATGTGAACTAGTTTGACTAGTGCTACTGTTAAAGCTCCTCTCCAGGCAGAAAAAAAGTATTACCCTTGCAGTGGCAATCCCCCCCGTCCCAAGATAGCAAGGGTTAAATGCTCATTAAGTCTAGGGGTAGAGGAATAAAGTGTAATACCTACCCGTATTCATCACTCCGGAAGGCTTACTACATCTGTGCAACCCTGTCCCCCTAAAGCCTCGTCTCTATGATGGCGGTCGCATCAAGTACAATGCAAGACCAATAGTGCTGCACTGTACATGAAGATGCCGAGGTCCCGTCTACAACCCAGAGCATTGGAGATAAAAAGCACTGGTGGTCAAGGGAGCTAGGGATAAGGGAAGTATTGCAGCCGTTTCCCCTAGACATAATGAGCTATTAAGCCTTGCAGTACGGGCAGGGAGGACCCCACTGCAAGGGTAATTTTTTTATTCCCAGAGTTCAGATTTAAGCATGCACTCATAAAATAAGTGAGCTTATATAATACAAATTAGTCTCGACTCCTCTCACATCCATTTTTGTTAGAACTGGGTGTTGTCCTGAGCAGAGATGAAGTGGGCAGAGGAGTGATTATGAATACATGAACACAGCACCGTCTTTATAAGCCGGCACTGGACACACAGCAGTATTTATACAGCACCAGACATGCTGACAATGGCAGTTGACACTGCGATACGAGATGGGGATAAAACCGTCCACGCAGAAAGTGGATAATGAAGCAGTGAGAGAAAATATGTGAGCCGCACAGCTTGCAAAAGCGAAAGGAGGATAAAAAAAGCAGATGTCGCGTATAATATACCGCACATAAATAACTTGTGTAACAACTAAAAGAGAGCAAAGCATCCAATCAGATGCCGCCCTTTCCCACCCACCCTCCTGTCAAAAAATGTCTACTGGAATCTAACAGGTCATCCAGGCCAGTACAATGGGGTCCATTAATAATGAGTTGAATAGCCGTGTTTATTTATTGATAAATGTTTTGCCTTCTTTACATAAAAAAAGGATTTTTGTAGGCACAGTTAACCACTTCCCGTCCGCCGAATGTAGAAAAATGGCCTGGGCGGGAGCCTTGTAGATGCGGGTGGGTGTCTTGAAATGTTCTTTGTGCCCGCGCCCAAATTTATTTCAGTACAGTGTTGCATGACTTAATAAATGTCAGTTAAAGTACTGAAAAATAGCCTGGACAGGAAGGGGGTGTAAACACCCTGGTCTTCAAGTGGTTAAATCCTTTTCTCCAGTAGTTCTTTGGGGGACCCACACTTCAACACCTAGGCACTGCTCCCTCTAGGTGGTTCAAGGAGCGATCGGAGAGATGAGTGCCAAACCGATTAAATAACAGGGTTCATCCAAAGTTTAATGTTTAAAATTCGATCACATCAAAATGCCAACGCGTTTTGGGGGCAAACACATCCCCCTTCTTCAGGGCTTAAAGCAATGCAGTAGAAACTGAAGGATTCAGAATAGTGATACCCATAGCAACCTTTGTTTTATGAAAAAGATAGCTCTCCGGGAAGGTACAATGAGTGAAAGGCAGTGGAGGAGGATGGACACTAGGAAAAACTAAAGGCCAGGATCCATCTAGTGACTATAGCATTCCATAAATACTGAACCAGCTCAGAAGCATTGAAACAAATTCCAATGGGAGAAATCTAAGAGGCGCTGGGAATACAAAGCAGCATCATTCGAAGAGCTCACTGGCTCATGTAAGGCACCTCACATGAAACTGGACTATAATGTATAAAAAAAAAAAAAAATCATAGTGGCCAGATGTGCCACCATTGGCACCAATAACATGGATGCTATGGCCCCGCACAGTGGCACATCTGGCAAATGACTCCCATGATTATTTATATATGTAATCCATACAGTATAGTACAATATAGAAAAGCCTGAACTTGAATCAATTTAAAGTTCTGACATGACCTTAAGCCTTGATGAAGGGTGGAGTGCTTCGCCCCCAAAACGCATTGGATGTTGTAAATGTGAACCATTAAAGTGATTGGGAATTTTTTACCATTTGGTATGGCGCTCCTTTAGATTGTTTACGCTTTAACCACTGAAACAAAAGGCAGTGATGGGAGGGTAACATCACCCATCAACTTAACTGTAGCAACAGGCCAACAACAGAGAAAAACAACCCAACACAATTGGGAAGGATCCATGTCCCCCAATGAAAAACTGGAGAAAAGGCTTTTATGTACAAAAATTGTTTTTCCCAGCATTCCCAGGGGCCAGGGGTCTTCAATGCCTGGGACCTCCAAATGCAATCGAAAAAAGAGGAGTGAAAAAAATAAGCCAAAGCCAACCCTCAATGATAACAAAGACCAAGTCACACTTCCACCCGTAGTTCCTTCTGTAGTCAACAAGCAAATGCACACAATGCATTACAAGTATTAGATTGCAATAAAACAAGGACATGCTACTTACATATACAGTTTTGCCCATCCGCGGAGAACACGTAGCCAGGCAGGCACTCGCACCTGAAGTTTCCAGGCAGGTTCATGCAGCGGGTGTTCCGTCCGCAGTTATCGAGCTGTTCCTCACATTCGTTGATGTCTGGAGAGAAACACAAGCAGCGCACACGTTAAAGCTGAGGGTGTCTCTTGGTCATTGGACACTTCCGGGAGTGTTTGATGCCCGTGTCCCTAATTGTGTGCTGCAGCTCCATCCTCCGGCCCCCTACATCAGAACAGGACTCAGCAGTGACATGGGATCAGAGTATTTAACCACAAAATGTGATGACACAGGCATCAGACACTCTTCAAGGTATGGAACATTGAAGAGACTGATGGAGGATGCAGTGCTGGAATAGAGGGTAGGTAGGAGACAAGACTGATGTAGAGGTACAAAAGCTCTTCTCTTGCAGGGCACATTTATTTGTAATTTTTTTTAACCCTGACAGATTCGCTTTCATTTTTGGATAGAAAAAACTTTGGTCAAGTTTTGCATTCCTGCCTGTGTCACCTTGTCTCACACAGACAACCAGGGTGTCACTGGAACAGGAAGTGAGGATATACCTCCCTAGACAACAACAAACATTTGACTTTGACTGGGGCTGGGCTTTAAAAATGCTAAAAACCGCGACCCATCCAAAGACTATATCGAAAACAGTTACTACTGGAGAAAGTAAACCACATATACAACCTACCAGTGCAGTCTCGGCCATCTCCCTGGTATCCAGATGCACAGACACAAGTATAATTCAATCCGGTAGCTGCCTGGCATTGTGCTCTGGTATCACACTGATGGGTGCCATCAAAGCAAGGGTTAGCCTGTACTGGTTCCTGGGAAGAATCTGGCGGGTAAAAACAAATATTTTAATCAGTAAAAAGACCCAGACGCCCAGTAAGCGGTTTACCAAACTTAGAAATAATTAAAAAGAGCCTCAATAAGGAAGAACCGCTCACTCATTCCCTTATTGTCAACACCACCACTACCTTCCCCCCAGTTCAGTCAGAAACCTGTAACGTAGAGTAGAGAAGTGTAAAAACCCCTATCTGGTCTCTTTTTGTTGTCTGTGTCCTGCTGGGGACACTTCCTTTCCTGTTCTATTCCTGGAGACACAACAGGAAATATGAGGAAATCTCCCAAAAGGAGGGAAATTTCCACCATAGCCAGTGCATTTCGGGGGCTATAAGGTTTATCCTTTAAAGTGACACTAAACTCAGGAGATAAATCTTAAAAATGCATTCAGGTACCTTAACTATTAACAGAAATGTATCTTTTTTGTGTATCACTCGGCTGTAGATCTTCAAATCATCTCTGAATTGGTGCCGACACTGTCCTTCCTTCTGGAGGGCAGTAGCGTCACAAGGGGGTGCGGCCCGCAACCGGGTGTCACCATTGCAGGGGTGACACCAAAATGACTGACAGTCATTTTGGTGTCACCCCCCTCTAAAAAGTTGGGCAGTGTCAGGAGAGGACATACCTCATCCCGCCGGGTGAACGTCCCCTCCTGTCTCTGCCGTCGTCCATCTCCAAGATGGCCACCGGCAGGTATCAATTTAGATGGTCGCGCATGCGCGATGATGTCATCGCGCATGCGCAAGGTAACGTTGCGCACGATGACGACACGGCGGGGTGTCACCCGGTCTAGAGAACGGGTGACACCCGACCTCGGGACGCCCCTGCTGGAGGGGAGCGACTTTTGTTCCCCATGGTCCCCGTGTGTTGTAAAGTAGTCACCGCTCCAAGCTCACTCCCATGATGGAATTCAATCACAATACAAATTAGCAAATGTGAGATTGTAGTTCATCACGGGAGCGAGCTTGGAGGCAGATAAGTCAAATTCAAGGAACTTATACTTTTTGTATTTTCAAAAACACATTTAATTATATATGAATGATTACAGAGCTCCATTAATTTGTGTCTTGTATATCTGCCCGCAGTTCAGCTTTAAAAGTTATCTACACTACATCTTCACAAAGCGGCCATGCCCCACAGAGCGCCTCGTTGCATCTTTTCTTGGCGCCCGATGGCCTCTGGCGTTGTTCGGCACTGATCTTAATGGAGAGTTTACAGCCATTCCCCAGCTAGGCTTTCGTTTACTACGGGCTTTGTCACTTAAGACATTTCATTGCCCGCAGCCCCCTAACCGAAGGCTCTGTTTGATTTTCACAAGCATGTAATTTGCCCCGACACTTCCTACACGCTTTGTTCCTCTGACATTGTAAAAGGCACGGCTATCAGCTCCTCTTTGTGTTCGCCTAATGAATGGAGGCACCCCTCTTCCAAGAGACTTTATGGAGAAGATTAGGTTGCTTGACTTCCTGACCCAAATTACTCATGCCCTTACAGAGCAGAAAAGGGGCTTTGTTACATGAAAAGAGCCAGCGAAGGAGACCCTCCTCCGCCCGCTGCCAGCACACGCAACACTAATAAAAGACGGGGAAGAGCCTGCTGAGACTGAAGGAATCCAAAGGGGGGAAAAAAACCCTGAATGATGGAATTGAGGAAAAGGACATCAAACTGATTATTGTGAAGACAATTCCTTGGATTAATTTAAAACCTGGAGAGTGTTAAAGAGGTTTTCCACTTTTAGGTAAAAAGAGGGAAAAAACTCTTCTCATGATCCCCTCTAACTGAAAAGGTGACACCAATGCAGCCTATCCGTTTACTAGAACTGGTGACATCACTGAGAATGCAGCCTATCCATTCACTAGAGACCGGTGACATCACTGAGAATGCAGCCTATCCGTTTACTAGCACTGGTGACATCACTGAGAATGCAGCCTATCTATTCGCTAGAGACCGGTGACATCACTGAGAATGCAGCCTATCCATTCACTAGAGACCGGTGACATCACAGAGAATGTATTCTATCCATTCACTAGAGACCCGTGACATCACTGAGAATGCAGCCCATCCATTCACTAGAGACCGGCGACATCACTGAGAATGTATTCTAGCCATTCACTAGAGACCAGTGACATCACTGAGAATGTATTCTAGCCATTCACTAGAGATCAGTGACATCACTGAGAATGCAGCCCATCCATTCACTAGAGATCGGTGACATCACTGGGAATGTATTCTAGCCATTCACTAGAGATCAGTGACATCACTGAGAATGCAGCCCATCCATTCACTAAAGATCAGTGACATCACTCATGATGCAGTCTATCCATTCACTAGAGCACACAGGAACATTATAAGATAGCAATCTTAAAACAAAATACATTTATCAGGCTCACTTACCATGTACAGATCCAATATGGCTGGTAATAGCGAATCTGAGAACTTGCTCCTCTTTATTATACATAGCAAACACCCTATCAACGGACAGCTTCTGCGCAGTGGGCGGGTACTTCTGTGCGTGGCCGCACTCCTGGTAAGTAACGTTTTGCTTTAATCGGTAAGAGAATCTCTGAACTTCACCACTCTGTGAGGTCACTGTGTACTCCCTGTATGCCGTGGAGGTCACAACTGAAGACAGAACAAGAGAAGACAGAACAGGAGAAGACAGTTATAACTTTATATCAAAGATGAAATTACTTTAGTGCCATTTTTTTAACACCATTTTCATCCGAACCAACCTCATAACATGTGGTTTTAGAAAAATAGCAACCCTTTCCGTAAAAAATCAAAGCTGGTTTTCCTATGATCCTAACAATCCTACACATGTGGAATAAGTGCAAAACCAATTAGCATCTGGTTCATTTTCAGTCAGCCATTTGAACAAGTTAAAGCTCTGTTCCCAAGAACCAGTAGCAGCTTTCCTTCTTGGACCTCAGAGCTCCAATGGTCTTAAGATGAACCTAAAACGAACTATTCCCCATCAGCATATACCCACCACTCCATTTGGCAGAGAAGAGAAATACCTGGTATTTCCGGGTATGGGACAGCATGTGACTGTCAGTACTTTCTCCCAAGTGACAGGGCTGGTGCTTTCTGATTGGCCCCTCGCCCATCTAGTGCCTCCACATAGGGGCAGAGAGAGAGAGAGTGTAAGCTCCAAAACACTTCCTTTCTCCCCTTTACCTGGGTATTTTTCTTCCCCAAGCCCCCAACAGCCTTACAAATGAAAAACCGACAGGGTGCCCCAGGTAACCGGAGTACCTGCAAAATTCCTGTTTAAGAAATGGTGGGGCTGAGCCCCCATTACATCCAACAATGCAACATAGGATACCTCTCAATAGGCTGCAAAGGTCCTGTGTTGCATTATAAGATATCCAAGTGTTGACGTTGTCATAAGTCAAAATTTGCGCACCCAGTCAGCAATCTTAGGGAGTGCATTAAAATCTCACAAAAATTGAACCTCTTTCCACTCCCTGATATATAAAACACTCCCCCGATATATGGAACACTCCCCCGATATATGGAACACTCCCCCGATATATGGAAGGTGAGACACTTTTGCTTTGTATGTCTTAAACCTTGACTATAGACTCCCTTCAATTCATGGACAGTCGAAACCTGACCAATGTCTCTTACCTGATCCAGAATACTGGTAGATCTCATAGTATGGAGCGATCTGCACTGTTGAAGTCTCAGGGATGAATGGAACTTTCCCCCTAATTGTAGACCGTAAATGGATATAATTATCCGAATCGAAGCCGTCCGCGGTTTGTGTGATACGAATGACTTCTTCTCCCGGGGAAAACACAGCTTCAATGTTGTGGACAAACTTTGCCCCTGCACGAAAGGAGAACAGAGAACATAACAGCTACAGTCCTGTGTTCACAATACTAAAGCATGTAAGGTAAGCAGTCAGATTGGAAAGCTATTGAACTTTAAGACTGACAAATCATGCGTCTTGCTAGAATAGTGACCTGTCATTCCCTCTCGTGGTCATGCAACTTCTTGGTGACGTTTTGAGCCCATTCCCACTGCTGTGCATTCATAACAAGCATTTTTATAAACCTTAGCTGTCATGTGTTGCTGTGTGTGTGTTTATACATATATATATATATTATACTCACCAGTAACACTGAATCCATTTTGATGTCCTGGTTTTTCCAATGCAAAAAGCCAGCCGAAAAGGCCACCGATGGCGGTCAGCGGCGTCAGTGACCAGGAAGCAGGTTCAGGGACTTGGCTGATGGCTGTGTAGGCTCTTCCATCATTCACCACAATATATGCATGCAAGTCGATCCCCTCAAAGGTGACCGGTGTCTGTCCCACAAGCAGATTCCCGCTCACTTTCCCATTAACACGGTGTGGTGCTCCTGTAAATGAGGAAAGAGTTTTGTTTACATGAAGTGGGTGGAAACACAAAATGTTGACTGCGAACTGTGTATGTACTAAGAGCAAACGTGTAAGGTGAAGCCGACTTTATCCAAATAGAGGTGGAGATGTGCACAATCTAAACTATTCAGTTACGGGCGTTTGGTAAACAGACAGCAGCTGAGCAAGAACAATGTATATGGTGTACAGGTCAGCATGCTCATTTATTTTTACATGTAAACTAATGTCTGCAGCAAAACAAGTTACATATCCTACAACAGACTGAAGGAAAATCCATAGCAGAGAAGAGACCAGGCAAGAGAGTGGTATGAGAAACAGAAAGACAAGAGCAAAAAGAGAGAGAGAGAGAGAGAGAAAGAGAACGCATAGTGAGAAGCGAGAGACAGGAAAGAGAAGAGAGGAAGGAGAGGGGAGAAAGAGAGGAGGGAGAGAGAGAGGGGGGGGGATGTGGGGGGAGATGGAGAGAGAGAGGAAATAGAAGAGAGAGAGAAGAGAAGAGAGGAAGAAGAGTGGAGAAGGAGAGGGGAGAGAGAGAAAGAAGAGAGAAAGGAGAAGGGAGAGGGGAGAGAAGAGGGACAAAGGAGAGGAGAAAGACGGGGAAAAGGGAGGGGGGGGGGAGAAAGAGAGAGAGAGAATAGAAGAGAGAGAAAGGAGAGGAGAGAGAAGAAATAGGGAGAAGAGAGGGAAGAGCAGAAAGAGAGAAATAAATGTATACCAGAACATGAAAGCCAATAAAAATGTAAGAAAAGATAAAAACAGAAAGGCAAAAAAATGGAAAGAGTAATGTGAAAAGAAAAAAGGTACAAAAGGGAAATAGAATAGACAAATAAAATAGGAGACAAAAAGTAGTGTAAGAAAAAGATAAGAGGAAAAAGATGTAAGAGAATGAGAAAGGAAAAGGGAAAAATTAGAGAAAGTGAAAAAGAAAGACATCAAAAAAGAGAAAGAGAAAGGCTAGTGAGAACAGAAAGAAAAAGTTTAAAAAAGAAAAGAGAAAGTAAAAGTAGATTAGTGAAAATGAAAAGCAAAAGATAAACAGAAGGGCAAAACGAGACACTAAAAAGAGAAATGAAAAGAAAGTAACAAAATACAAGAAAAGGCAAAAGAACCGGAAAGAGAGCTTAGATAAAGTGAAATGAGGAAAGCATGATAAGAGGAAGGAAAAGAAGTATGTGTAAACTGGAAGAAGGGGGACTAGAATAAATACAAAGTAGACAAGCAAAAAGAGCAGCACGTCCAGCAAAACAGCCGATTACCTTTTGGAAGACAGTGTACGCCATTGCCATAGTAGCTGTCCTGGCAGTGGCAGCAGAATCCGGTGGCGTAGTCCGTACAGAAGGCATAAAGAGAACAGTGACCTGGATTCCTGTCGCACGACTCTCTGCTTATCGGGTCAAACGTGAGAACTGCAAAGGAGGAAACAAAACAGCAACCAAATGTTATACTAACAGTTCAGGAATACACATTCAAGAGCTGGGACAGTCCTGGCAGTAAAGTTTCAGCCATTTAGGCCACTGCTGTCCTGGTTTCTTATTAGAGCAGTTTATGAGGACAGCATGAGATGGAGGTAGGGACATGCACCACGGAAGAGAAGCAGGGCTGCGATTTCAGGCCCAAAGTATGTTTTTGTAGGTGCAACCTCCAGGGACATCATCCTTATCCTTGCTTGTTCCATATCTTCACACATACAAGTGCTGCAGTAGTGATATGGAAGACAACTCTAGAGTTTGTGCCATACATTTTTTTTACTCTGGAAGCTATGCCCACAAAAAGGCAGGCGGAGGACAAATGATTACTCCCCAGCATTGCCTGTGGTCTCCCCGAAGCTGATCTTATCACTATCACTGACCATGCCTAGTTCTGCACTGTGTCTCTGTGTGAGGGCAACCATCTTGGTAGAGGCAGGACTTTGCTTCCTCATGTCACAGCGTCCAGCAAAGAGAACAGTTGGAAGCACATCAGTGAAATCACCATATCTGCTGGGACTAGCAATCAGAGGCCTTAGATCCCACACTGCAGATATAAAGCTATGAAGCTGTGGGCACAGAAGTGCCTGAGCTACAAAATGGACATGTTTAGGTACACCATAGACACAATTGGCACGTCTAGATGTTCCTTAATACATAGCAAATACTGTGAGCTCAGTTCCACTTTAATCATTAAAACAGCATGGCAGCTCCCATATTACTATACAGACGTGTCTCCTGTTAAACCTCCATCACCAGGAGTTTGGCAGAGGTGCATTCAGCACTGTACTTCTAGCATTTGTCACGGAAACTTTTTGGATTGATATTTTCAGCATTTTAGGGGTTTAGGTTAAGGTTTAGGATGTAAAGCTTAGGGGGTTAATCGCTGCATGAAAGTATATCCAAATCCAAAACATTTTTCTAATCATGAAAATTTCTGTGAGCTTTATCAGTTAACCCAGCTATCTTCTGTAGACTACTGTAGAACACTGTCCCCCTATAATGATAGAGAAGAGAAGGGGGTGTTTCTGGTCCCAAAAACACATCCTGTCCTATGGTAACTATGCTGCTCTTTCATAGGCACAGCACAATGAGTGAGCATGGTCACCCCAGGACAGGAAGTGTGTTACTGGCATGATCACCAGGTGAACATAAAGGGAAAAAAGAAAACTAATGTGGCCACTACATCTAAGCACTGGTGAGTTGCAATATATCATGTGATTGTTCTTGGGATTAAATACACTTTAACTATGCTTCATTTCATCACACGAGCCACCAAAGAAGCAACATTACACTACAAATTAGACAGACAAATGCCCATTTATCTTACCATCAGTGTCCAGCCCTCCCACATCTACGTTCCCGAAGAAACGGTCACCCCTATAGATGTCATCAGACCTTCGTGGATCCGGATTTGGGGTCACATTAGAGAAATCCTCAGACACCGGCTCAGATGGCTCTTCTTGGGTTTCATAAGATGGAATGTTGCCGAGAACTCTAGTCTCCGATGGCTGAATCTCAGGCTCACCTAAAGGCTCATTCGGGTCATAATTAGTCCAGTTGGGCTCTTCCTGAGACGGGGGTAAGGGATTGTTTGATGTATATAACGTAGCATGATCCTCAGCGTCTATGAATTCCTGACGTCCATCGGGATTCAAGTTTACACTGTCCGTGGTGGGTGGCTCAGTGGTTTGACCTGCTGGGTAGTCTTCATCCTCATAGTTGTCTTCATAGTTGTTGTCCCCGTTGAATTGGCTTTCCAGTTGTCGTTGTTCGGGGAAGTCGTTGTGCGAATTTATCAGCGGGACGTACCGTTGCTGTGTATGAGGGTGAGGCACTTTTGCTGGAATGACATTATCGATCTCTGAAAGGCTACCAATATGGAAGACCCACACTCCAGGAACGCCAACATTACTTGTCCTAAAGTAACGAGAGCAACAAATTAATTAATTAGGATTAGGGAACAATACAGGCTTCTAAAGAACTGCACCTGGTACACATAACTTGTAAAAAGGTCAAAATGAAGAGGTCAGTCCACCCAAAAGCTTCACTTTTTCTGCAATGCCTTACAGAAAGCCCATACACATCAGGATCTCACAACCTAGTGTCCCTGCTAGTCTCATGCACATTAAAGGGCTTGTTGTGAGTGGAAACCAATAAACCTACCAGAACATCTTTGAATTATGGTAGATTGTCCATCCAAACATTAGAAGAACAAAGCTTGAAGTGCACAATGCAATACCCACTGTGGTGTGCTGCAACGCCGATAATTTTGACTTCAAGGAGAACTATGAGGTGAGTGATTTCCAGTCATCCTCATAGTTAGAGCCAACCTGTGACAAAGAAGCTGTCACAGGTCGGCACTATCGATCGGGAAGTGAGCAGAAACATGTCGCCGATCCGCTCACTACTCGATCGTCTCCCTGCAGTGAGCGGTGACTATCAGGTCTGGTTCACACCTGGGCGTTTTACTACGTTCCTACGCTCTGTAAAACGCTCAACATGTGAAAACCAATGATTGCCTATGGGCATGGTTCCCACCTGGGCGTTTTACACGCTGCAAAACGCCCTACGACCAAAGAAGTACAGGAGCTTCTTTGGGGCGTATTTGCCGTGCATATCTATTGGGATACAGCCAGGTAGCCCTCGGAAACGCGCATATTCTATACGCCTAGGTGTGAACCCTGCCTCAGTTATCACCACCCGCAGGGACTCCCCTCTCAGATGCTCCAGCGCTGACTGGAGGAACGGACGGGGGAGGGGGTGGTCACAGCTGGCTCTGCCTCTAGATAGGCAGAGCCCGCTGTCACTCACACAGCTGGGTGGATCTCGATAGCAATGTCGGGATCCGTCCTGGCTGCATCGCTCTCAGTATATTGCGGGCAATAGCCCGCAGTATACTGAGCTTTGGGTCACGGGAGGAGGTTAGTATATGTCCTCCCTTGACCCTTAAGAGAACTTTGGGGAAAAACACTTACCCTATAGTTCTCTTTTAAGGTTGTGCAGCACAACACATGTGAACCATCTGTCCATTGTGGTGAGCTGTGTTAAAAGGATAGTGCTTGTCTGGTTTTAGGTGTCTTGACCACCTAATCAAAATGAATGGGCACAGGGTAGCATGCAAATACTACAATGCACTAGGTGCAAACAGTCCCTACATGTGAAGGAACCCATCAGAAATACAGGACTATGGGGGATATAGTGGTTTAGTACTTCTGCTTTGCAGCACTGGGGGTCCCCCATTTGAATTCCGATCAGGACACTATCTGCAAGGAGTTTGCATGCTGTCCCTGTGCTTGTGTGGGTTTCCCCCGGGTACTCTGGTTTCCTCCCACACTCCAAAGACATGCTGGAACGTTAATTGGCTCCTGTCTGAATCAGTGAAGTATGCATGTGCAATAGGGACCTTAGATTGTAAGCTCCTTGAGGGCAGGGACTGATGTAAATCACTTTGTAAATTGTCGGGCGCTATATAAGTACATATAATAATAAGTAGGATATAGCATTTGGCAAGTGAGATGGTATACGCCATGGACTGTGAACAGGAGATTAGTTGTGTATGAAGGAAAGAAGATTTTAACATCAGTATAGGAAAGGATTCTTTGCAGTGAGAGAAGAGTTAAAAAATATTTTAAAATCATTTTAGGAAGGGGGTTCTCTTTGTGTGGAGTCGAGGTAAGAAATCATTTTAGGAAGGGGGTTCTCTTTGTGTGGAGTCGAGGTAAGAAATCATTTTAGGAAGGGGGTTCTCTTTGTGTGGAGTCGAGGTAAGAAATCATTTTAGGAAGGGGGTTCTCTTTGTGTGGAGTCGAGGTAAGAAATCATTTTAGGAAGGGGGTTCTCTTTGTGTGGAGTCGAGGTAAGAAATCATTTTAGGAAGGGGGTTCTCTTTGTGTGGAGTCGAGGTAAGAAATCATTTTAGGAAGGGGGTTCTTTGTGTTTGAGTCGAGGTAAGAAATAATTTTAGGAAGGGCGTTCTTTGTGGTAAGAGTGGAGGAAAGAAGACTTTAAAATCAGCATAGAAAGGGGGTAAGAGTGATAAATCTTTGGAAAGCCTTTTCAATCCAAATGACCAATGGCAGTACAACCAAAAAAAAAAGAAGCTCAAATGATTTTCTTACAGCTAATAGTACTGCACTTCCCAAGTTTAGTAACTTTTTAGATAACTTCTCTTATGTTATACTGATGGAAGCTTCCCTTCTCCCTTCCATTGCAATGGCTCCTTTGAAACAAAGTAACAATTAGACTTTAAATTAAGAAGCAGATTGAACTTACTGATAAAGATTCTTCACAGACTGTTCGGTATTCGTGACGCTGTAAAAAGGCGCTTCCTTCTTCAACTGCTCCGACTCTCCCCGGCTGAATCCCACTCTGGCGGGGAGGTCGAGCTGCACATTGTACGACTCCTTTGGCCTTGTTCCGAAAAACTGAAGCCCGTGTTCGGGATACAGGAATATGGCGTAAGTGTCTGAATCGTCATACGCCAGCGCAGCCTGGAATGTGTTAATCTAGGAACAAAAATAGAAAAACATGGTTATGAAATCATGAACATAATGTACTGTATAAAGGCAGAAACAACACAATTAAAATATGTCAACACACAGAAACAGCCCTTTGGGGGGGAGGGGGAGAGGGCCTGCAAATGGCTATGGTATGGCAAATGGTATTTCCAAGTCACATTTAGAGCCTCATTCACTACATATGCATTTTCCAACGCATAGACAAGGCAATCTGCCTTATGTCCTTTGAGTTGAGTTCACATCAGTGGGCATGCTGCATTTGTACGCAGTCCAGCATGTTGCGATGAGTTCCCAGGTCCGCCTTTTATGAATGGGCTCCCACCATCTCTGCTGGATTTTTATTTTATGTGAACAGGAGCGGGAACACACAAAGGCGGACAGAGCCACCCAAATCCCCCAGATGGCCAGTAACCGAGTCAGGAAGATCTCTGATGGTGAAACCAGAGACAGCCGCAGTCCACCAAGCTCCAGCTGTAACTAGCATATCACTAGCATATCACTTTTGGGTGACAACTTACGATAATCGTACAATCGCGGGATTTCCCGCGATTATCGTACGATTATCGTAAGGTGTGTGGGGACCTTTGGAGGATGTCTGCACAATCTCCCTTGTATCTCTAAGCCAGCTTTTCTACACCTTGTTCTGTTTGCATGCTTGTGAATATGCCATCCTGGGGTGCGGGGGCTACTTCTTTTACACAAAGCTCCCCTCTCATTTCCTGCTCATGTGACATCCCCTCTCATTCTTGGTGTTACACCAAAGAATCCGCAGAATGAAAGAATGCTGCAACTGTTCCTTCTCATATTATAGCACTGAGGCTGCTCAGGTGGTTATAATGAAAGCAGAGCCTCCCACCTAGCATTCAGTTTAGGATTTAACATTGCAAGGCTTACATACATATAAAAAGAACAGCAGCAGCTAAAATGTGCAAAAATCCTTGCAGTGTATACAACTCAGGAGTGGATTGTGTTTTCTCTAAGGGTTAGTTCACACCAGCCCCAGGCAAACAGCTAACTACACAGATGAGATACATTTAAGGAATCAGTTTATACCAGCCAAATGATTTGTGTTCCTCTTCATCCAGTTCTGAAATTCATACAGCTCTGTCACACAGCACAGTCCTGTCTGGCAGGGCTGGAGACCTGAATTTTCTCTGCTGCAGATTACTAACACATACAGGTCTTGTCCCTCCCCTAGCCTGTGACTGGACAGTGAAAGGAGAAGTGAGCAGATTGATGAACTCATCTGTCACTCTGCTCTCTCCTCCTATTAGCAGGTTCCATGTTAGCACATCTGAGTCTGAGCTCTACTGTACAGGGACTGCAAGGTGCCGCTACCATGTCATATTCCAGCACTTAATCTGCTTGAATTTCTAAAAATAATAAACAATGGAATTTTGCTCCAGGAAGATGTTGTTTATGTGAGCGATTAATAAGGATTCTCCTAAATCCTAAATGTGAAAACACAAACTCTGTGTCCTTGTTGACATTAACAAAGAAGATTAAAAGTAACACTTGGCGTCTTTGTATTCCGTTATAATAAAGTAACCAACCCAGAGCAGCTCCATTACAGATCTGTAGAAGGCCCAGCACCCGTTATTATAGGATTGCTCACTCATGTGACACAACGCAGGTCAATCAGTGACTCTGGACTCTGTAATTATCTGGTCAATAAATAACAGTAGGAGGCGGATTCCCGGCACTGCTGCCCCTTGATCCTTTAAAGTGCAAATGCATGTGAATCTGTCAAGCATGAAAGGGATGAGGAGGAGGAGGAGGATGTAGAACACATAAACTATACCTACAGTCATCAGCACCAGTCCAATTCATCATGGCCACTGACAGCACAGCTTACATACAGCAACACAATGCATCATGGAGGGAGCTTTCTTTCCTGCTTTAGACTGAAACTTCTGATATATCGAACTGCTGTGCACGGGAACAACAATCCAAGCACCCTTGTGCAGGGTGACTGGTCTGGTCTTTACCCCATCCTGTAATAAAGACCGCTCACTGCTGCTCTCTCTCCTTCTGCAGAGTGACTGGTCTTGTCTCTGCCCCCTCCTGTAATAAAGACCGGTCACTGCTGCTCTCTCCTTGTGCAAGGATGAATGGTCTTGTCTCCGCCCCCTCCTAATAATGACCGCCCACTGCTGCTCTCCCTTGTGCAGGGTGACTGGTCTTGTCTCCGCCCCCTCCTAATAATGACCGCCCACTGCTGCTCTCCCTTGTGCAGGGTGAGCGGTCTTGTCTCCGCCCCTCCTGTAATTTCTACAGGCAGCCTGTTGTGGGTGGAACCTTCTGGGCCCCTCCCACAGCTCTGCTCAGGCTATGTGCAGCACAGTGATGATGTCAACAAAAACTTTACAAGGTCAAATCTGGCTTTGCAGAGGTATCTGGGGGACACCAAGTGGATTTATATCGTTTGTGGCTATTGAGGAATATATTTCAATGAACATTTTTGGATCCAGATTTCAGCTTTAAATGCAAAGATTGCCAAGTATGATTCCACCTTCCCGACGCATGTAACCACCGTTCCATGCTGGAAGCATACAGGTCATTTTTTTGGGCAGACCGGAGTTCAGCTTTAAAACTAGGGCTGTCCAAATTAACAATTATTTCGCGATTAATCATTAATCTTTTTTGAAACTTTCTGCACGAACGCCAGCCAAGGCATTGGCCTATACACATACAGCACAGCAATGAAGAAATAAAATGAACTAGGATGACACTAATCCAGCACGGTATTATTCTGAGTTGCCCCACTCAAGCGGCGGCCATATTGAGTGGGGCACGTGAGATTAATAACATGCTGGATTAGTGTGATCCTAGTTCATTTTATTACTTCATTGCTGTGCTGTATGTGTATAGGCCAATGTAGTTGGATCTGTATGTGCGTTATAATTAATCGAAATGAATCGATAAATCGATTTTAAAAAATTTCGATTAATCGAACATGAAAATTTTAATCAGTAACAGCCCTATTTAAAACCCATTTTATTTTCTTCCTGTGTTCATTGGGGATATTTCCCTTCACTTCCTATCTCAGAGACACAAAAGGGTGCTAAGAGGAAGTCTCTTTAGGGTGGGGGGAAAAAATCCCCTCTTAGTTGTCACAGGTACAGATGTCCCCATTGGATGATGCCCCCTCTTTTCCTGTTCTGGTGGCAAATGTAGGATGTTCTCTCTTTCCCGATGACCAATGGTCACCAGTAAAAATGGAGAGGGCAAGGCAAGTCTCTCCATGGGGGATACCAAAGGGGTTCTCACCCAACATTCCCCGTCCGACCTCAACCCCCCTACACACACATCACATCCACACACTCACTCTATCTAAAGCAGAAACCGTTTGGGATTTAGATATGCTTGACTTGCAGGGTCTGCTTATTTACTAAGGGGTCCCTTGTCCTTGCCAAAAAAAGCTGCACCAAATAAAAGAAAAGGCCTGTGAATGAATGGCTAGGGAACATTTACAAGTTGCATAAAATCCTCTTCTGCAGTACAAAGCACAAAGGAGCCAACCCATGCACGGATATTTTTGCTTGGGGTCGGATTTTTTTATGACCAGCTGTGTTCCCGAGTGGGGATGACTGTGTGCCTTAAAGTGAACCTGTAAATACATGGAATTTTCTATCCCCTTTGAAAGGTGGACTATCAACTACCTACACGTCTGCTTCTTAAAACAGCGTTTTGGGTACTCATTGACATGGCAGTTGTCCAATTATAGAGTGCTCTGCCAGTCTATAGGCTGCTTTAGGTACGCCCTAGGACAGAAGTGGGCAAATCTAGCCCTCCAGCTGTGCTTTAACTACAAATCCCAACAGGCCTTTGGGAGTCATGCCTGTCACTGTCAGTCTTGCAATGCCTCATGGGACCTGTAGTTCCACAACAGCTGGAGGGCCAGAGTTGCCCAACTCTGCCCTAGGAGCCCCCCTCCCCAAATCGCATATGGAAATTCTGACTTTCCAGAACTCAGGGCATAGGCACACACCTACACGCTCAGGGCATAGGCTATTTATGTAGTAGGCATTGCTTTATGGTATGCAAGTTAGAGCCATATGTGTATGCACAGGTTAATTTTAAAGTATCAAAAACCATAAGAAGTTTCAGAGGCTCTTGCATTTTGTTTTTTAGGTCTCATTCACACTGTAAATCGGCCCGCACGTACAGCTCCATGCTGCGTGCACAGCCGTATCAGGCAGCTCCCGGGAAGGACAGGTGCTGCATGTGGTTAGTACGCAGCCCCCTTTTTTCTCTATGGGACTACGCGGCCGTACAATCCCCTACACTCACCCGCCCTGCACGTCCGTACAGGTGCGGGTGAGCGTACTCTTACGCTGACAGGATGGATCCTGTCTGCGTCCGAGCCAGGAAACATGCACCCCTACGGACCTGCACTTGAGGTGAGCGTAGGGGGGAGTACGGCCGCATAGTCCCATAGAGAAGGACGGGGGCTGCGTACTGATCACACGCAGCACCTGTCCCTGTCCCACCTGTTTTAATGTACGATAGTTTTTATAAATATAAATAAAGAGATGAACAGATACCAGTTTTGCGAGTACAAGTACTGGTACTTGCCGAGTACTTACAAGTACGAGTACTGATACATTTTTGTTTATTGTCATGCGACAGTTTTTCTATGGGCCGATTCCTGTGTGAATGAGGCCATATTGTGGTCTCTGCCCAGGATGGGGAGATTCATCATCCTTATTTATTAGGGTTGCACAGATACCAAGTACAGTACTCGGTACAAGTACGAGTACATGTACCGATACTTTTGAGCTCCAAGACTAGACTAGAGAAAAATTCAAAATTTAGGAAGCAGCTGTCATTTGGACGGAGCACACGGAGCTCCTGGGATTTGTACATCTCTGTTTTAATGTACGATTTAGTTTTTATAAATATAAATAAAGAGATGAACAGATACCAGTTTTGCGAGTACAAGTACTGGTACTTGCCGAGTACTTACAAGTACGAGTACTGATACA